TAATTTTGACAGTTCACTTTTCGGCCGCTCCCTTCTGCCGTATTTTGCGGCAAAATTATCCACACCCACCGCCGCGCTATGAATTGTGGGATATATGGGACCACGAAGCGTGCACCGGACCACGCTTGATATTTGGGGAAATCGATGGCGCATTTGGAGTATGCATTTCAAATTAGGCTAACGAGACGAGACAAGGGAGGTAAAACTGAATACACTCAAATGAGACGCAGACCTTCACAATAAAACAGGAAACAAGAAACCATCACACAAGGATGCAGACTCGACACAAAGAGGCAGACAGAATATAACACATGGAACTCAAACTATGCTAAACATGAGACAAACCCCTAAACCAGAATCACTGAAAATAGGTTAATAATAATAATAATAATAATAATAATAATAATAATCAACAAGGCACCAGAGAAACGATATGATCCATCATTCAAAAATAAACCAAAATATAAGAACTTAAAATGCTGGGTCAAACCGAACCAGAACCGTGACAATCTCTGAAATATAAATCATGTTTTCCTCAAAGTCTCTTTCACATTCTCAACTAATACTGAAACTTTTTTTTTTTTTTTACAGTTTTTACTAAATTTAGTAAATTGATTACATTCTGTTTTTGCATTGTTAATTTTCAATCATGCTTTTTCATTGTATATTATGTGCATCTTTTTTATAAACATAAATAACATTTTAATTTCACATTGGTGTTTACCTCACTGTTCTTGTTTCATCATTGTTTCTAATTTACCTTGAATGACTTCAGAGCTTGAATCCTATAGAAGGCCAGGGACAAAGTACCCATCTACTCAAAACATGCACATCCAGTCATATTATTGTAACCTTTTATCAGCGTATTTTAAACAGAATTATCTATGCTTTTAAGCGCAGAATGTCTGTACTTTTGCCACCCCTGGTCTATATTAATTAGTTTATTTTACTTTATTATTTCAGCTAAAAAAACATTTTTTTATTTTCTGTAGTGTCAGAAAGTCTAAGCTTAATTTACTGTGCAGTCATTTTGTATCTTGACAAATGAAGTTGAACACATCCCTAAGAATAAAATTGCATAAAAGAGACGTTTGACCAGCAGGTGGACTGGGCTTCTGTGTCTGAGGTGATCATATTGTATCCTCGTTCTATGATGGCATCATATAGGCTCCATAGAACTGTGGGATTATTACACTGTCTTATGCTACATTATACCTCTAATTAAAGAATTGTAGAATCATTATATTGTTTTAGGTTGCATTATACCCCTGATTTAGAAGAAAGTGAAAATTATCAGCTTGAAATTCTCTTCTCTATTAAGCAGCCTTGCTAACATGACTGCATATTGTTGTTGTTGTTAATATATTTCAAACATGTAAACAATATATAGGTATATTTAGTAAAGAAAATAAGAGAGAGAAAAAATACTACATAAAAGTCAATATATTTCAATATAGCTCCCTTTCTGATTCCTTTACATGTTCAAAGGGAGTGGGAAGAAGTACACACTTATTTAATCCCACCCCTTTGCCATAAGTTATCAGTTAATATTTAGTCAGCTTAAATAGTGGACAGATTTCTGATATAATATATATTATATACTATAATATCACATCATGACATTTTTTAAATAGAGACATTCACTTAATTTCAATATTTTCCTTTTCTTTATAGTTCGAGAAGATTTACAAAGTTTAAAAGAAAGAGGAAAAAATATAGAAACTGTATTTTAACTGCGAAGTTTTATACTGGATTTAAACAGGATTCCTTGCGGAATTCCTTGAGGAATTTATTAGTAGAAATTGACTCTTCTGTTTCAGGACGTCACATTAACCTTGTAGC